AAATTTTGATTATGTGTTTCAAAAAATAGGTTCTCAAACATTAAGCAAATCCCAACACAAGGCAGTTGCAGCTAAAGTAATTGGCATAAGAATGAGTGTTGACAAAGATTTTGAATAAGCGTAGATGATATTAAATGAATATTTTAAAAAGTGTTAACTTCATGTGCTTTTTAGAGAAAAGTTAAAAAATAAAATTTAGTGAAATCGAAAAAAAAAATCTCTGAAGTAATGCAGCCTGCTCTGAGGCAGGGGTGGGTTGATGAATCATGCGAATTAGCATACACAAGTATGCGTGTACAGGTTTCATGTCTGTGCGATACACTAAGTGTGGAAGTGTGTGTGTTGTGTGTCAAGTAATGAAAAATAACAACACGAGTGTGCGAAAAACGTGAAAAATTCAGCAGCAGCTGGTAAAGGAGAAAAAAACGCAAAGTTTAGAACAGATTTGTGTTAAAATCGATGTGAGAAGACATATTTTATTTTGTTTTCAGCTTTATCCTTCTTTTTCTATTTATACTTATGTATATGCTTCTTTTCTATCTAAAGTACTCATCCCAACTAATTGCTATTCCGTACAGCTACGCGAAACTAAGTGAAAGCAACCAAGAACCCAAGCACAGTGCGGCACAAGCCTAAAGGCATTTAAAATGGCTGACGAGTATATGCCAGATGTCAGCTTGATGGACACAAGTGAGTAACATATTGTAGCCAAAACTAATGGCCACACTAGCAAATATCATTAACAGAACGACACAAAGTTTGAGCAGAAGTTTTGTCTAAGTTTTCTATTTGATGAAACTCAATGAAAGTTATCAGGGTTACAAGGAATCGTTATGATTCATTCGATTAGCTGAATAGAATGTATTTAGTTAATGATGTGCTAAAACGATGTCTAATTAAGAGTCTTAGTGGTGGGTCTTGGCTTATAATTTACTTTAATAAAATCGTAGAAATTTTTACTTCCCCTTAAATGGGATGTATTGAAGTAGTAAGTATATTCTAAATTGACTTCATCACAGTACAGTTAGATAAGCCCATTGATAAATTTCCACAATTTCGGACAATTTCGTCAACATTTTTTCTTGTAATAAAAAAATATTAGCTGAAAATTGGCCCGTTTTGTGGTTGGAATGGCTCAAGCTAATTCATTAGAAAAGTCTTGTACATTTTTATAGTATGCCAAAAATATTAAATTATTATTATTGAAATGTTTGGTTTCTAACCAATTTCTCTTAATTGCCTCTGATGTAGTTGTGCCCGCCATACTGGGCCTCTCCGCAGCCGTTGTGCTATCGACTGTAGCTTGCATTTGTGCCAAGCAGATTCGCATACGGAACAAGAAGCAGAACCAGCACGATGCTTCATTTCCATTCCAACCAACGCGACGTCCGACCGCAGTTCGCTCGCCGAGCGGCCAGCCGCCGCACTATCTGAAAAAATCGCCATCGCCCACTGGGGGCAAGCAAATGGGCTTGCTCTCGCCCATGCAGGATCAGTCGACGTCGCCGATAGCACCGCAGAACATGAAGTACGTCGAGGAGGATGAGGTGTCGCAGCAGTCGCAAATGGTACAGCAGCAGCACAACTCCAACAAGCTCAATGTTGTCGACAATGCCAAGCACCACAATCAGCACCACTCGCCGGTAGAGACCATTGCCAATGGCAATGTGACCATCACTTTGGACGAGACCCTGACCAATGGCAAGGAGCTGACCGTAACTGATCAGTATGGGAAACTGGGCACCATTTACTTCAAGCTGCGCTACCTGGCTGAGCGAAACGCTCTCATGGTGTCCATCATACGCTGCCGCGGATTGCCCTCCAAGGGTGGTTCTGGTGGCACTGGTGATATACCCACTGGCATGAATGGACGCACTCAGGCGGCCACTGATCCTTATGTTAAGCTGCAGCTGCTGCCGGACAAACAGCACAAGGTGAAGACCCGAGTGGTGCGCAACACGAGGAATCCGGTCTACGACGAGGACTTCACATTCTACGGCTTGAACATGAACGATCTGCAAAACATGAGCCTGCACTTTGTTATACTCAGCTTCGATCGGTATTCACGCGACGATGTCATTGGGGAGGTTGTCTGCCCATTGACCTCCATTGAGATTGGCGACATATCGAAGGAAGCGCTTTCGATCAGCAAGGAAATACAGCCACGCAGTCTGAAGATACGTGCCCAGGGACGTGGTGAGCTGCTCATCTCGCTCTGCTGGCAACCAGCAGCCGGACGCCTGACTGTCGTTTTGTTGAAGGCGCGCAATTTACCGCGCATGGATGTCACCGGCCTTGCTGATCCCTATGTCAAGATCTATTTGCTCTATAATGGCCAGCGCATAGCCAAGAAAAAAACTCATGTCAAGAAGCGCACGCTCAGTCCGGTCTTCAATGAGAGTTTTGCTTTTGATATACCAGCTGCAGAGGTACGATTATCAGTCTATCATCATTTCAAAATTAAAGAAATTACTCTGGTGTTAAGTGTTTTGTTTTGTATTTACATAAATATGCATTTTTCGTTGTTTTGCTATTGTTTTTAATTGTTAAGCGTTTTAGCTTTATTAGGTATGAATTCTACGGACTAATGTCTAATATGTTTGCCACTTTGTGACTTGAGCAATAATTGAATCGAGCATCAACTAATCAAATAGCTAGTTAATTAGTCAAAAAAGATATACATTAAATTGAACCATCTTTTAGGGCACTGGCGCCACGTTGGAAGGTGTCTCATTGGAGCTCATGCTACTCGACTGGGATCGCGTGACCAAGAATGAGGTAAGCCCACACATTATAATTTAATTGGCAGCTCCCTAAAAGTCTCACCCTCTGACGCCCACAGGTTATTGGACGTTTGGAACTGGGTGGACCCAATTCGAGCAGCACCGCTTTGAACCACTGGAACGAAGTTTGCAATTCGCCACGTCGCCAAATTGCCGAATGGCACAAGTTGAATGAGTGAAATGTTTAGGCTGTATCAATTTTCGGGGCAGCGACCCGGCGCTGGCGCCGCCTACCCAACCACAAAAACAACAACAACAACAGCAACAACAAAAACAGGCAAACAACATATACAAAATATTAAGTTTTTAATATAAAGTTCACTTAATACTTTTTAATTAAGTTCGCGATTATAAAATGTTTTTTTAAACTTATGCTCAATCATTTTATTATTTTTTTATGATAGCATAAAAAATAAAAAAAAGTTTAAGCAAAAAGTAATGTACCGCAAGGAAAAGAAAAACTTAAGTATATTAAATGTATTAGAAAATGTTTAGTCTGTAACAACAATGCGTATAAATGTAAGATAATTAATTAAAAGCTTCACAAACACCTACATATAATGAAATACAAAACAGGTACCAATTCGTATAAACATCAAAGCACTTCGATTTGTTGCTGTATAGAAACAATTTCTTAAATTTGCGAATCAAGCTAAGTTCACATTATATAAAAGATTTATTTTTGAGCTTAGGCTTTTTCATTTGCACTCGTAGAATACACTTTACCTGAACAAATGTTTTTTGTAGTCCATTCATTACAACTGTGCCCACCATAAATACTTTTGGTATTTGTTTAACATGTATTTATATTGTATTTAAAAGTTAATCTTTACATCTTAGGCATATGTTTATTTAATTTACATTATCCCAAATCAATTCAAAATAAAAACACATACAAAAACCTTTACAAACTAATAAATAACACAAATACTTGAATAGTTCTATTCACAATGAGTCCGGAGTGAGGAAAACGCTTAATGCTTATCACTTATATAGAAAAATAAACGTACTTAAAAAAAAAAAAACAAAATAAAAGTTAATTAATAATAATAATGCAAAACAAATCGAAATGACAAATGAAACTTGAGAGAACACGCAGCAAATTGCTTAGGCACCAAAAAGCTACAAAATCACACACAAAAAGAACGAAACAAGTCAAAACCCAAAAAGCAAACAACACAATAGAATAGTACTTATAAGAAGACAACCATATTGTATGTAGAAACCACAATTAACAACTAATTGTATAATGTAGAGTTACGAGATACCCCATATGAGATACATAGAATGCATAGCTCAAACTGAAGCCAGAACCCAATAAGCATTATTCAAATCTAACGAAACTTTATGATACATACAAGCATAATTAAGCAAAGCTTATGACGCAGACTCCAAGCAAGAGTTAAATCCTTAACTCGAATGCTAAAGCCTATATGACCATCATCAAATTTCGGCTCATTTTTTAAAGTCCTTACAGAAAATGTAATAAAAGGAGAAGGAAAAAACAAAAACAAATGTAAGCTAGCAGCGAGAACAAGATGCATACTAATATAATTAATAATATACCCCCAAACGAAAAATTCAATTTGAGTCCACAATCAAACTTCAATTCGTCTAAAATGCATACAATAATTAAAAAATAAACACAGATTTTCATATACATAGATATATAACTATATACATACGTATAAATAAAGGTACATACTTCATGCAAATAAATATATATATTTATATATATATATATATATATATATATATATATATATATATATATATATATATATATATATAAATACATATATATATGTATATCCCAAATACATACATGCACATATATATAAATATAATATATATATATATATATATAAAGTGAAATGTAAAATTCCACATATGCATATGTAATAGGAATGTTAAGGAACATTGAATGGTTAATTTCAGTAATAAAAACGTATATAAAATGAAAAAATGATTGATGTTAAATTTAATTGAGTACTTAGGTAAACATTTTGACATGCAAAAACTTCACCACATATAAGATGAACCGTAAATGATACGCGATTATCGTCAGCTACTGTTAAACCAATGAACTAATAATTGATCCCGCTGATAAGGGCCTTCCAGCTCTCACTTGAGTATTAACGCTCGGATTGAACAGTGCGTCTTTTGATGAGCGGTTGAAACGTATTTTTAATCATCAACTCTTTTTATATACTTCTTTGTATATAAAATGATTTTAGTTATAATTTTAGCGGCAATAACCCCGCTTGTTCAGGGTAAGTAAAGCAAGCCTGTTCTCAAATTGTTTCTCTCTATAAATAACTCATATTGATGGTATCAGCTGGATCTGCTGGTTTTTGTACTTCGGACGAGTTCAAGTGTCTCGATGGCACTTGCATTGGTAGGCAATTACTATGCGATGGTAAAAAGAATTGCCCAGATTCTAGCGATGAGGTCTTTAGTGCCTGTTACAATGAAACCTGCACAGGCTTCCGTTGCAATTACGGCGGCTGCATAAATAGAAATCTGATTTGCAACAACGTTACCAATTGTTGGGATGAAAGCGATGAAAATGAGTTTTTATGTGCGAATGATTCAAGGAAGTTAGAATTGTTCATGCAGCTGAAAGGTGACTGCCCGTGAGTATTATGCTTACTAGTCTTTTAATTTACTGATGCGCTTTAACCAGACTCTTTAAAGCGGTGAATATGGAATGCAATGCCCGAATAGCCATAAGTGTTTGGAGTGGAGTGAGGTGTGTGACGGCGTTAGCGATTGTAACAGTGGTGAAGATGAGAATTTGAAGCTGTGCGGGAGCAGTAGGTGCCCTTACGACTCGTTTCAATGCGAGAGTGGAGGTTGCATCCATAAAAATCGCTTGTGCAATAAAAATATCGACTGTGTGGATGGTAGCGATGAGATACCCAATATATGCCTTATGACGCAAGTAGTTTATTCAATAGAAATCAAGGATACGGATAATCAAGTGCAGCAGTCTGAACAGATGCCGGAAATAACAGTGTGGCAGAGCTTCAGCTGTCCTTTGGTTCTCATGCCGGGCATGCAAGTACTGAATTTCTTCTCTCAGCTTGCATACAAGTCAGATGACGAGGTGCCACACGAAAGCATCGTGGAGGTGACTTGCAATGACACATACATACTCTTCGGCTCCAATATCAACAAATGCGTTAATAATATGTGGCACAACGAGTGGATTTCGTGTGTTCGTTATTGCGAGCCAAGCCCAGATGCACGCAGAGTCGAATATTCGGCAATGTGCAGCAGAAAATCTAACATTGTTGATTGTAATGAAATACCTCACCAGCTGTCCACTGAATTGCTGGTGCCCTGCTCGGCAGGCTACGAGTCCGACTCGGGTCATGATCAAGTTGGTCGCCATATCTGCAATGAGCAAGGCGAGTGGACTGTCGTCGAGGAGAATCCCATTTGTGTGCCGATTTGTGGAGTAAAGTCAGCACAGCATCCCGATATCACGCCTTGGACTGTGAGCCTGTTTCGGCGCTCCACAGGCAAATATGGGATGTACACTTTCAGATGCATTGGCACCATTCTCTCACCTTACATTGTAATTACTGCCAACGCCTGTTTTTCGGAGGCTGATGAAGTAAACTCACATCTTTTCTTCAAAATTGCTGAGGGCAATCACAAAATCAACTTCACAGAAGACGAGGATCATGGTTATGTTCTACATAATCTCATGGAAATACATCTTGGCTCATTGTAAGTGCTTGAAGAAGAAGACTACAAATCAAAATAATGTGCATTATGTATTTTACTTTTTAATAAGAATCTGATTGATGTCTGCGATAATATAATATAATATAATAATAATCTATGATGGACTAATCCTAACTTTCATCTTCTATTATAGTGACAAGAATCATATGGCAGCCATACTCTCCTTGGTGAAGCCTTTTAGGTTTGGAGGCTTAGTTCGACCCGTTTGCTTGGCTCCATCTTATGATGAAACGCAACCGATGGAAATCAAAGGAATATTCGATAGCGCTGAGCTGGGGAAGGGGCACACGGAATATGAGAACTCCAAGTACTATCTAACATACTTTGTGGCCAGCGAGTCACTTAAATATAGTGTACGAAGCTTTATTTCGTCTATCAAAGATTATATATCAAAGAGCGAGCAGGTATTAATTGAACATTGAATTAAGAGCTAAAAATAAATGTGAATGTAAATATATATATAGCCTAGTATTTGAAATGCATTTTTAATTTTTAATTTTAGAAAGATCTTGTTTCAAATGTACAGCCCACAATGCAATTGAATGCAATTGCAGTGAACGCTTGTGTATGTGTGTGTGTGTTTATGTGTGTGGTTATGTACATATGTAAATAGGCCTCGGGGTATATCATAGTGGACTACTGCCGTCTCGAAATGCCGTGTATAATAGTTTTGTTAAATGTTAATAACTTTAAAAAACTGGAGTCATCTACCCGGCATAGTAGATATATTCCTGATCAGGCGACTTGATCTAGCCCTAACCGTCTGATTTGAAACTTCTAATGTTCAGAAAGTTGCAATTGTTTACGTAGGTAGCAATATACCATGCGAAGATCAAATATGTTTCAAATAATCTACAAGTTTTCTTTTCTATATCTCACGTTTTCAGATCTTCAGCTGATTTCGTCTTAGTATCATATATAATTGATGCAATTTTGACTAAAAATTTCCGATTTTTAAAAGTTTTTAATTTCAGTGGCAAAGTTTGACTTTGCATTAGAATGTAGATATTGTGCTGAAAATGTAATTAACTTGTCGACAGCCACCATACGCAGCATTAGATTTATCATGCTGCCTTTAGGTCATGAATTTGATGATTTGTTGATTAATTGCCGTGTTGTTAATAAGTAATATGCCAGAAATACAATCTCAGAAGCTTACAATAATGACTAAGTTGAAATAGATAACAGAGCCCTGAATTGTATACAGAAAGAAGTCTATATATTTATTAAATATATATATATATATATATATATATATATATATATATATATATATATATATATATATATATATATATATATATATATATATATATATAGTAAGGAAATGTTAAGTATGCACGATTACAGCCATTGACTGTTAAGTTAGTGAACTAATAATTGAGCTTGCTGATAAGGGTCTTTATGCTTGGTTTTCGCTTTAAGCTGCTATCACTTAAATAATAACACTCGCAGTGAGCAGTGTGTCTTTAGATGAGCGGCTGAAGCGCATTCTTTAATCAACAATGTCAGATTTTTTTATTTACTTTTTTGCATTTAAATTGTTTTTAATTATAATATTTGCGACAATCGCCTCGATTGTACAAAGTGAGTAAAAAACAAGTCTGTTCACAAATTGTTTCTCTCCAGTTCTTTATATCTTTATAAATTGATTTATGGTGACAGTATCAGCTGGGCCACTGGATACATGTACTTCAAATGAGTTTAGGTGCCTTGATGGAAGCTGCATTGATAAGCAATTACTATGCGATGGTAAAAAGGACTGCCCAGATTCTAGCGATGAGGTCTTTAGTGCCTGTTACGATGAAACCTGCAGTGGCTTCCGCTGCAGCTACGGCGGCTGCATAAATCTAAATCTGATGTGCAACAACGTTACCGATTGTTGGGATGCTAGTGATGAAAATAAATATATATGTTCGAGTGAGTCAACGATGATAGAATTGCTGACGGAGCTGCAAGGTAACTGCACGTGAGTATCGCGCTTAATAGTGTTCTTATATACTCATGTGTTTTAACTAGACTCTTTAAGCGATGAATATGTAATGCAATGCCCGAAAAGCAATAAGTGCTTGACGTGGGGTCAGGTGTGCAATGGCGTTGTCGATTGCAAAAAGGGTGAAGATGAGAATTTCAGCCTGTGCGAAAGTACACAGTGTGTTCCAGATTCGTTTAAATGCGAAAAAGGAGGCTGCATCAACAAAGATAGCTTGTGTGATCAAATAATCGACTGTGCCGATGGCAGTGATGAGTTGCCCGCAATATGCATGAAGCTGCATGCAAATAGTTTAGTACAGATGGATGACAACCCAAACGTACCATATTGGACCACCAAGACTTGTTCTTTCGATTCCATGCAGAACATACATGTGTCTGATTTCTTTACACAGTTTGCCTACAAGCCCGATGGCCAGGTGCCAGACCAAAGCGTCGTAGAGATGACTTGCGATGATGGATACACAATCTTTGGCCACAGCATCAATAGCTGCTATAATAGTAAATGGACAAATAATGATATTTTGTGTATTCGATATTGCGCGCCAAGCCCGTATTCACGTAGCATCGTCTACTCGACAAAGTGCAGCGAAAAATTCGACGCTGTCGATTGCAGTGACCGATCACGCTTGGTGAACACTGAATTGCTCGTGTCCTGCTCGCCAGGCTACAAGTCCGACTCGGGTCATGATCAAGTTGGTCGCCATATCTGCAATGAGCAAGGCGGGTGGACTGTCGTCGAGGAGAATCCCATTTGTGTGCCGATCTGTGGAGTAAAGTCAGCACAGCATCCCGATATCACGCCTTGGACTGTGAGCCTGTTTCGGCGCTCCACAGGCAAAGATGCGATGCACACTTTCAGATGCATTGGCACCATTCTCTCACCTTACATTGTACTTACTGCCAACGCCTGTTTTTCGGAGGCTGATGAAGTAAACTCACATCTTTTCTTCAAAATTGCTGAGGGCAATCACAAAATCAACTTCACAGAAGACGAGGATCATGGTTATGTTCTACATAATCTCATGGAAATACATCTTGGCTCATTGTAAGTGCTTGAAGAAGAAGACTACAAATCAAAATAATGTGCATTATGTATTTTACTTTTTAATAAGAATCTGATTGATGTCTGCGATAAGATAATATAATATATATATTATAATATAATAATAATCTGTGCTGGACTAATCCTAACTTTCATCTTCTATTATAGTGACAAGAATCATATGGCAGCCATACTCTCCCTGGTGAAGCCTTTTAGGTTTGGTGGCTTAGTTCGACCCGTTTGCTTGGCTCCATCTTATGATGAAACGCAACCGATGGAAATCAAAGGAATATTCGACAGCGCTGAGCTGGGGAAGGGGTACACGGAATATGAGAACTCCAAGTACTATCTAACATACTTTGTGGCCAGCGAGTCACTTAAATATAGTGTACGAAGCTTTATTTCGTCTATCAAAGATTATATATCAAAGAGCGAGCAGGATCCTTGAACATTGAATTCACTTTATTATATTTTGATTTAAGAGCTAAAAATAAATGTGAATGTACATAAACTAAAACACACACTCGTCACTACTTGACAATTACATAAGTGTTATATATATATATATGTATATACATATATATTAGTTTTATTTACTTATATTCGGGTTTAAGTACTAAATTTGATGTTTGTTTTTTTTCCATGTTCTCGAAATAAACCTTTGATGAATGTTTCTCCTGGTGGCTGCTCTCATTTGCTCTGCTTACATGAATTGATAGTATTTTAATTATCTTCAATTTCTTTACTTTTATTTTATTATCATTATAATTTTACTTTTAGTTGCTGCTTTTTACATTGAGATTTGTGGAATTAGACTCTAACTATTTTTTATTCTTTTTAATTAATTTCATTTGCCTTTTTAGCTGAAGTTTCCTCATGCAATACAATATTAATTAGCAATTAATAAATTACTGACATTTAGTATGAGTTTTAGGACACATTTAGTTGAGTTAACTTAGCTAATACTTTAGTTTTCAGTAAAAACTTTAATTATACGTATTTTATTTGTATTCAAATGTTTTTGCTCTTGATTTCTTTTTAATTTTGATCACTTCAGTCTTACCAAAAATATTTTAAATTTACTTCAACAGCATTTATTCCTCTTGCAGTTTTCAACATTAGAAATGTAGTTTTAGTTAGTTAGTTCTTACGCTTAGTTCAAAATAGTTTTTGTTTGCTTTCGCATGGTTTCATTTATAGTTTGTAAACACTTGAAAATTTTAATGCTCAAATTTGTGTTTTTTAATATTTAATTTTTGTTAATTCAAATTGAAAAATTTCTTTAAGAAACTTTCGTACTCAATGCGTTGAATAATGGATTAGTTAGGTCTTGGCTGTTCTAGCCTTAGTAGTTGCATATGTACATAACTCTAAAGGATTTTACATTACATTTAGCTTTGATTTCAACGCTGCCATTTGCTTTTAGATATAACTGCGAGATCTGTTTTGCGCACGGAATTAAAATTAATCTTAACAACGCGACGATTATGAATATATACACACGTGTTTCACGGGTTGTGGACTTGCGAGCTTGAAATGAAAGGTAGGCGCTGGAAACGATAATCATTGGAATTAACTTGAAAGTGATATTAAGTTAAAGACACGTTGGTCAGACTGTGCTATTCGCTTATCAAGCAGTTTAGGCTCTGCCATAAACTTCTTCATGCCAAATGCTAAACATATGGTTGTCTGGTAGTTAGAACTGACATTTACATTGGGAAAAACTTAATAGTCGATTTGGTGTTACCATATGTACCAATTTTAGCCACGGAATAATTCGAGCAAAATCAATGATTATCTAAACAGGTCAAAATGTATTTTATATTAAAATTGAAATTTAATGTCTCAAAAATAATCAGCAAATACATAGTCCAGTTGGGAAGTCCAAGTGCGAATTATGTTAAAGTAGGAATTTGGACGGTGTTGCTAAATTAATTAATTAATACGTATAATTGGCAATTTACAGTGTTGTTTATCGATAACTTAAGATAACTGTCTGTCTGTGTGTGTTTGTTGGTGTAACCTAAGTTCAGTAGTACGCACTAGGAGAGACTAACTACGATTTAATACTGTACAGGATACGCGATACTCCTACTAGAAACTAAGAGAACGAGCCTCAGCTCGTATTGCATACAAATCGGCGGTCAACACAATATTATGTATATATGTATGTTACTATGTATACCTATGTATCAGTTATGTAACTTAAGAAGATGGGGCGTGGCCAACTTAAAAGTACGACGTTAGCTATCCTTTGTCCTTGCCGGGGCCGACGCTAACGCCTAGCAGATGCTCGCCGGCCATCAGGCCCGCCGGCTGATGCGCATAGTTGCGGATCTGATGCAGCGAGATCAACTGATTGGGAAAGGCATTGGCATTATTCTGGTTGACGTTCTTGTTGGGGAAGCTAATGGCATCGTAGAGATAGGGACGCTGCGCCATCGGGTGGTGGCTCAGTGAGTTCAAATGCGGCGGCATCGAGTTGATCGGCGTAAAGGCCGAGTTGCTGGTGGTCTTCGTTATAGATGCTGCATCATATGGCCCCACAGTGCTGGGCGTGGATGCTGTGGATTGGAACGAATATTGGCTGACCTACTTATGTGATGTATACACTATATACGATTACCTATATCCTCGCGCACCGGGTCGGGCATGATGCGATGATGCGGCTGCAACTGCTCTGGAGGATGGCCGTTGCTTTGGTTGCTGTTGGGCGCTGTGGGTTGGGCGTAGTGCGCCTCCATGCTATGTTGGGGCGGTGGCTGCTGCTGCTGTTGCTGCTGTGGGTGGTGGTGCTGCGGTTGCTGTTGCTGCTGAGGCGGGCCATGTTGCTGCGGTGGCACGCCGAGTTGCGTGTGATGGAGATGCGGCTGCTGTTGCTGTTGCTGCTGTTGTTGCTGCTGTTGCTGTTGCTGCTGCTGTTGTTGTTGTTGCTGCTGCTGTTGTTGTTGCTGCTGTTGCTGATGCATTACCTCCATGGCATTGGCCGCAGCTGCAGAGTCAGGACTTACTTTTGGCCAGTAACTGTTCTCGCTGGGCGCTATTGAAACAGGCGGTAAAAGATTATTGCGCTGATGCTGTTGCTGCTGCTGCTGTGAGTTGCTGCTTGCTGCAGTTGGTGTGGCAGCAGCAGCGGCGGCGGCAGCGGCCACAGCTGCTGCGCTGCCGGGCGCAATTGGCGGCCGCTTGTCCGTGCGCTCCGCATGCTTCTGCATGTGCTTCGTCAGGTATGTCTCCTGGGTGTACGACTTGCCACAGTACTGACAGATGTGCGTCTTCAGATGCTTGGACTCTTTGTGCTTGGGTATGTGCTCCAGCAGTGAGGGTTCGTCTGAAAAACACTTGTAGCACGAGTTGCACTTGAACGGTTTGTCCGTCTGATGGCAGCGCGAGTGCGACTGCAGATTGGACAGCTGGGAGAAGGCCTTCTGGCAGCCGGGATGTCGGCATTTGTACGGCTTGTCGCCCGTGTGGGTGCGTATGTGCTGCTGCAGGTGCGACAGTTGCGTAAACTTGCGCTGGCATATCTCGCAGCGATATGGCTTAATGCCCAGATGAATGCGGGTATGCTGCGACAGATACGAAGAGTTGGCAAATGCCTTTGAGCACTGCGTGCACTTGTAGGGCTTCGCCTCCCGCATGTGGATCTGCGTGTGCAGCTGCAGGTCCGCCTTGGAGCTAAATATCTGAAATAGAAAGATGATGTTGTGTGAGAGCATCGAACAGAGCTGATTAGCATAAGCTACAAACTCTTACAGTTTTACATTGCACAAAATTAATGGCGTCAGCCAACCAATCTTTGCCCAAATATGTTTTCAGGTTCGATTCGTGACTTTATTATTTATCTATATGCCACGGCTCAGTATATATAGATCAATCTACACATAACGCCAAGGATATCAGCATTTCCAATTTTATCCCAAAGCCCAAGTCTGTTACTTAAATAACGTTTGTATAAAAAAATGTAGCATTTTCCAATTTGACACGATTTGGTGGGCGGATTATTTTGTAAACAACTTTCAAAAACATAAGCTATAGAGAGCACCCATGAAAGATATGTTTCCTGACTTCGCAAAATGTTGAATAAGAATACACTAACTTAAAGTTTGGGAAAAGTGTCCAAAGGTAGAAAAACATTTAAGTGTAAATTGAAGCATACGCAGTATATTTGTTTAGAATTAACTAAATTTAAATCATAAACAAGTAAGAAAGCTCTAGTCGGGGTGCCCGACTAGGAGATACCCTGATCCCAGTCCTTTGAGTTTTTTAATATTTTCCGTATCGAGTATTAAAAGAAAAGAAAACAAATAAAAATCGACATTGTGAGACCAGGTTTCGAACCCGGATTATTTGCGCAACGTGCACAAACTCTACCAACACCGCCACTTCATAATTAAAAAAAAAATAAAACAATAAAAAATTTTTCGTCCCCACTGGTCTCGAACCGGGACCAATCTGCTTACGAGCTGCGCCTCTACTAACGCAGCCACTGCCCCTGTTAAGCAAGCTGTTGCAAATTTGAACATAAGTAGCAGCTAATAATTCAGCACAATTCAATCGCAATTTCAATTCTTGGAATAGAAAAGAATACACGCATTTGAATGTATGTGTGCACACGCATAGGAAAAATGCGTGCACGTGGCGCTGCTGACATGTGCTTTTGCAAATTGGCCAAACGTTTTGTTTAATAACTTCTGTTTTACTTAATGGATTTTAATGAAACTTTCAGCATATGATCTACATATCCTATTGGCTTGGTTGAGATGCAAACGCCTTCACATAATGGCCCTAGTTCCAACTAAACTTAAATTCTACGAATTTGGGGGAATTTGGAGCCGATATCCAAAATCCAACAAAAATCAAAATACATAAAATATACATAAGACTAAATACAAAATTTGGAGGCTCTAGCTCTTAAGACGTTCGAGATATAATTTATTTACTGCATTTCAATAATGTTTTTATTCGATAACAATTGAATGCGAATAGTTATCGAATATTTGAAACAAACTTGACCTGCGCGTGCTATACACGGACCTACAAAAAAATTTCAAGTCTCTAGCTCTTATAGATGCTGAGATCCACGCGTTCACACATACGGACAGACGGACAGACGGACAGACGGACGGACGGACAGACGGACAGACGGACGGACAGACAGACGGACAGGGTTCAATCGACTCGGCTTGTCATCCTGATCAAGAATATATATACTTTATGGGGTCTGCCACGCCTCCTTCTGCCTGTTACATACATTTGCACAAAACCATTATACCCTGATTTCCCATTTTTAATGGGATCAGGGTATAAAAAGCAAAGAAATATCTTTTGAATGCATATAAAAAGATCTTATGACATAATGGTTTAACTATGCTGCCATTTGCCAACTGCAACTAGCATATACAAGGCGGAATGTGGAGCACCAAATTTCAATATCCCCAACATCGTTTTTAAAAACGTATGGACCAATGACTAAACC